CCCCCCCCCCCCCCCCCCCCTAAAACATGGGACGCAGGACGCCCGTGTTGATAAAAACATTGTTTGCATTGCGAATTATCACAAAAATTGCCGCCCCTTGATATAATGTATGAAGGTAATTTATGTATTCTTTCGAAAAACAGTCCGTCGGCTTACTCGGAGTATTTCCGGTGACCTTCCGACTTTCAGTGACCTTTCGTTTGTCATATGATATAAAGCCCCTAAAACACACGAAGATTAATAACAAAACCATTGCATGCACAAAAACAATAATTATTGCATCCTCACCTGCCGTAATGTCGAACGTATCCTAAAACAGGCAAAACACACGACGGTGCCTGTAATCAACAATGCTGTATTTACGAGTATAAAATTCTCAAGTATATAATCCAACCCGATATTCATTGCACCATAACTCAGGGCTATTATCCAAATTATAACCGACATCACGACCGAAAGCTTCACATTAAAATATTGGCGATAGATAAAAGGCGATGTCACCGCAAGCCACCTTTCGATAGCTAACGCCGAAATGGTCAGAACAGAAGCTGCTGATGCGATAAAATACGGAATATGTAAGAGCTTTTGAATCATTGGATCGTCTCTATGACCGAATTCCGTATCCAAATTTTGTCTGATATGAATATACACAGCCAGACTTTCGGTTATACAGCCGACGAGCAAATCCGCCAACGCAAGATTAAAGGTGAAGCAGTTAAATTGCGTACGTAGTTCTTTATTCGGATCGATTGTTATAGCCAAACAGACGAACAAATTTGTTGGAACTGTGACGACAAGCAATATGAAAGAGAATGAAGCCGTAATAGTTGATAATGCCGGTGGTGATGTTGCGTTGCGACAACCAGAAGACACCCAGTCTAAATACATTGTTACAGTTTTTCAACGGAGGTAGTTTCAATCTGTGTTGTGATCACCGGAATTCGGGAAACAGATTCTGTGATTTAATAGTTACATCCGCTTTCCAGGAAAATTATTTACTTCCGAGTTCCGGTAGCTGGACTTTCGCATTATATTCGCAAAGTCCTTTTCAAAAAGACGTCATTTTTATTTCGCACGGTTCTTGTATAAATTGGTGTACGTCATGTATTTCTCTTCTTTTCATTGCCATTGGACATTGGTGTCATATACATGCACACCGTTATGTGTACTAAACGCGTATTTATACAAGGGGACGTCTTGCAACAAAATTCAAATCCCCTTCTTGACCGAATTCCTTCACTTTATTGGCGTTTTGTTACAGTTTTGCATTGTTTTTCTGTTCAACATATATCCTTTTAAATAGTAAAATTGAACGGTTATCTCAGTATTAAACGCGTGTTTTACTGACTAACACAAAAGCGGCATAAAACAAAGATTATCAATAAAAAGTTTCCTTGCACTGTTGAATAAATAAACTTTATATCACACATCCTAGCGACTTAGGGGCTGCAGTTTATAGGGAAACCGGGCTGGCCCGCTAATATAGACAGCCCTTTTATGCGCTGGCACTCCTAGCAGGATGAATTTCTCTTTTGTTCAGATGAGCATGTGCTAAAACCTGGACGTATACGCACGATGGTCGGTGGGCTTCGATCAGTAATTTTACTGATGATACTGAATGCCCTTTCGTGCTTGGTGTGAGAAATTGGTACGCTAGTCCCCGAGCCGGCGGCGCGAAGCGCCGTGCGAGGGTACTAATTCCCCCCGGCTATTTACACCCGGGGAAACGAAAGCATTAGCGGAGTCTAAAGTTCATCAAATATCGCGGGCGTCGGTCACCAACGATGGGTGGTCATCCTCACTGATCCCAAAAATATGGCGGACTGTCATGAATAACGGACACTGATTGGTCCAATTTAAAGTTTGCATTATAACGGCTGTATGACGACAGCGAAATAGCAAACATTTCTTGATTTGATGAGTTGATGATTGATAAATTTCTTGCAAATATTCTTCATTTTTGCTGGTATTTCTGCAAGATTTTGTAAATTTCAAGACGAAAGGGCGAAAGAATCAGCTAAAAGAAGGGAGCCGACGTTAACGAAGGTAAGTTTGTTTTAAATATTGATTTTATAATGGCTTTAAAACCCGACGGCCTTTGCGTATATGAAACAACTAAACAAGACAGCATATAATTTCAGTGTATCTTTAATACTGATTCCCTTTTTTATTATATTGAATTTTTTGAATAAAAAATAAAGCAAGTTGATTTGCAAGCGAGAATTTGAAATCATTTTATTGCAAACTCAAAGTTTATCGATAAAGCCATTTAATAGTTAAAGGCAGTTTAGTTTTATAAAGAACACTTTAAAACGTTTTGTGAATTGTTTGTGGTTGAATTTTACCTTAAATTGAAGCTTGTATTACGTATAATTACATACCTAACATGAATATGTTGGGAAATTGATAATTTTGTAATTAAAAGTGATATTTTTAGGCGATTTTCATTTGTAAGAATATTCTTAAAAAATTATCGTGTTACCATGACAACTACTTTAGATACTTCATGTTCGGAAATACAACGGTTTTGTCAGCAAGGCGAGGGTTTCTGCATGCATGTATTTTCTAGTACTATGATAAATATACACTATAGTACCTGATTCTACCACAGTCCCCCAAATTTGCTTCGGAAGAAATAGGATAATGCAGGCGCAAACATGCAGTTGCAGGCGCCAGCGGGTTGGAACAGTAGCACGCAAAGGCCAATGGGAATACTCTGACCATTTTCACAAAATGGTCAGAGTATTCCCAGCTGATTTTCATCAAACAACGCGGGATCACAGATTAATAATATATTATTAATCTGTGGTAGGATGAGCGTCGACTGCGGGACTAGTACTATATGATTGCATGGTTGAAATACATTAATTCTCCCTTTTATGTGACACTGCCATTGGCTTAACCAAAATTATAGTTTTCGGAAAGTGAAACATATTGTGTAATTTATCTTTTGAAATACGATAATCATCGGCAATAACTTCACTACAGAAATATATTTCAGGCAATATACATAAATATATATGCATGGTTACTTTGAACAAAATTATTGTTGGAAATAGCTGGAAATACAGTTTCCGGGCTTGTAATTTTCAAACTTTTCTGGGAGGCATTCCCCAGATCC